GCTCTATATGATATCCTTTTCTTGTAGACAAAACACTCTGCCTTTGTTTTGTCAATAGGATTGAAATGGTTCCAGACTTTGCTACTTTTCTTGGTGTCACTCATTTTCTTTACTGTACCTTTCCAATGTGATGGTGTTGTCTCTTGTTGTTGCTCCTGGCTGTCTTTCTTTCCCTCTCCCTCCTGCTCTTGTTGTGTGCTACTGCTGTTGCGAGTGGAACTACCGCCCCGCCCCCTCAGCTCAGCGCTGAGCAGAGGGGGGAGGGGCACAAACGCAAGGCTCTGTTTCCCGTCTCTGCTCATCGCAAACACAAGAGTGACTTGCAGCGTGAAGCGAAAAAAAGTGAAGAGAGGGGAAGAAGAAAGAGAGAAAGAAAGAAAAAAAACCCACGGCTCCCAATAAGGAGCCGGCTCGCATTGTTCACTTCAAAGATCTGGCTCTAAGAGCCATTTCGTTCGCGACCGACCCATCACTACTCTGTAACTTGATGTTACTGTGTCCTCTGTTAAACTGAATCATTTTTAAGCACATCAGCTATTTAATTACAGATCCACAGAAACACTGGTGGAAATAATGGTTTTATAAAACAATGATGTGATAATCTTTCTCAATCTGTTTAAATGATATGAAAGCTCACAGCAGAAGATTGGAAATGCGCTCCAAACATGTTGTTTCTGAGATAAATCTAGATTATTCGTAAAAATAGACACGTTACACAAAGATTTTAATTTTTTTGGAAGTAGTTATGGTAATGTTTAGATATGATTTCACAGTTTTCTCCCTGGTTTCCAATTAACAATGAACAAAAATTAATGAACCCTTTTTCTGGGAATTTCACCAAAACATTGAGTTTGTTTTTAAGTAACATCTTTGAGTTTTCCTCTACACAACTAAATGCCCTGACTGACACCTGTTCCGCTTTAAAGCCAAGAAGGCCAGGAGCTTACTGACACCAGTTTAACTGTGGAGTTTTGCCATAATGAAGAACCAGACACGCTTTACGGTAACACACATGCAGGTTTATTACACATCAAACGGGTGGCCCCTACAGGAGGATGATAACACTCTGAAATCATCGATACCTGGACAAAAACATCAAAGAAACTTTTGAAGGACAACTTGAAATGTCACTAACCAAATAACACACCTCCTAAAAGACCTCAATCTATTTACACATATATGGTAAACTGGGCAGACTAAGTTTTGCGCTTCACATAAAGAACGAAGAGGCTTTCAGCTGCATCTCATTTTGGTCATAACTTGTTTTCTTCACATTGTGTTACCAACAGCCAACACTCTGTGGGAGTAAACCTAAACCAAACTACAAACCTAGATTGGGTTGTTGGTGACCTGTTTGTGTTACACATCTGACAATAACACCAACTGAATGTCTCTCTATCCCATTAATCCCCATCTGAGGTTTAACTGTCTTGTTATTCTGCCTCTTCACTTTCTTTTCCTTTTCTGGTAAAGAGGCTGTTTTTTGGGGTAGATTTGCCACATTAGTTCTGATTGTGAATTTATCCCTTACACTATGAGATAAAATAAACCAAACAACACAAACTCTAATTTTTGTGATTTTGTTGGTGTTCATGTTGGAAATCAACTCTTCCACATGGGAAGGAAAACACTTCTAAAGGTGAACACTGCTGGACCTCACACCATGAAGTAGCAATGTTGTTAGTTTTCATTTATACTTGCATCTGCATATCTTTCCTTAGTTATCATCCTTAAAGTCCTTAAAGTTATCATCTTGCATCTGAAGCCAAAATCTTGCGTAACAGTTACTTTTACTGAAAGAGGGGGGAAAGACAAGACTTAAGGCTAGCTAAAATTAGAGCCTTTTACATTCAGTTTCATAGACGTGTTGTCCTTGTGCTAATGTTCATACCAAAAAGACCTGTCAGAGTTGTTAACCACCCAGTGATGACATGGACTTGGGCTATAGTTTAGGAGCTGTGGTGTAGGGGCTCAAGTTGTTCAATCATCCATCCATTTTGATTATGAATTAATGAGTTGGCCTAAACCTAATCATACATTACATTTTGGAAATCAACGCTATGATGTAATTATTGTGTAGCTGTAAGGTGTAACTATGGTGTAGGAGCTACAGTGTAGTGAGGGTATAAGACTATGGTGCAAAATATATGGTAAAGGTGTAGCGATTTAATGCGGTACTATGTAATACGTTATATGACCAGCTGAATAAAAAGTATTATTTAACAGTGCAGCTGAAGGAAAGCTTAATAAGAGTCTTAAGAGCTCAATAAGTATTGCTAGCAGCACCAGACACTGCAAGTGATTGTTACTGAGGGGTTAAACACATGGTTTGGAGTGCAGAGTCCAAACTCTTTTTTTTCCTGGGGATTCTCAGTCAATAAGTTTCTTTTCTTATGAACTAAAGCATATTTGACCTGATATTCAGGTGTCACAGAAACTACAGCAGGCACATAGAAATATGCCAGGGCCAGTTTCATTGAGCGACTTTAAATTAGGTTTCTATTGTTATTCTATGGCAGCCATGAAAGCTAATGGGGATTCCCCTTGTGACAGTGCACACAGGTCTGGTATGCATGTTTCACTGCTGATGTAACCCATGCATAAGCACTTTTCATCATTTACTGTGACTTACAGATTACAAACAAAGGCATGTGCAAGACTTCAGTTTCACAAGATGAGTCACCTCTTTTACCTTTTTATGTTAAGCTTTGTTGGCACATGTACTGCATACCAACTTTGCATATGAAACTCCCTGTCACAGCTGCTGGGGCAGTGTTGCCAGATTGACCTTTGTACCTGTAGGGCTGCTTTTGAGTTTAATTTACTGGTAGGGTAAATTAAATATTTACCCTACCAATTTACCCTACCAATATTTCTGCTGCTATTCAGAGATCTTCAGGATGTAAATTTCTAGGAATCAGAGGTCTCATAGAATAGAGTATAATATTTGATTATCATATTTTTCCACCCAAATAATTATGGGTTGTGACTGAGCTGGAATCTATTCCAGCACAAAAAAACTTGATTGGTGACTGGTGGTTAAGAGGTTCAGTTGCTGTGAGATCATTTAAAAGAATATCTCAATAATAGGCTTATTAGTTGACTAAACAGACTGTTAACCCTAAAAGGTGAATGCTTTATTGATGTGTGTTCATCCATTCAGTCATTTCGCTGCTGGTTCAAACAGAATTTTACCTCCACTAGCTTTTCTGGAGGGTTCACAAGCTCGCCAAGACACATGAGCTCTTCAGTGTATCCTGGTCCTGCTTGCTTTCTCATTTAGATGTGAGAGATCCTGAACAACCGAGCTCGGAACCCTGCCTGTGCACCTGAAGCCAGACACCCTTCTGAGGAAGCATATTTCCGCTCTTTGTATGCATGAAACTCATTCTTTCAGCTAGTTCCTGAAGTTGACAGGTACAGATGAGGGTGGGAATGTAGATCAACAGTTTCTGTCATATCAGACAGTGCATGCATGCATTTCAGTTTCCTGTTTGAAGCTCTCTGAATTTGACTGAATTCTCTCTCAAATACCTGACTGACAGATACCCAATGCTCTAGGAATAGCACATGCTTAGGTGTTACAGTCGCAGCCTACAGCATGAGTCAGTGAATATTGTGAAATATTACACCTTTGTTTGCATTGCTTTGTTTCTTTAAAATAACAATTCAAACTAGCAAATTACATACACACTTAGTATTTTAGATGTGTGCTTTGCTCAAATGTTTCTCCAGAACTGATGGAAAGAAGTTAGAGAAAGTGGAATATGCTAAGACTTCCAGCCTCTGTCTGCCTCTTGATAAAGAAAAAGGGAAGTCATTTGTTATATTTAAGCCTCAGTAATCAAGTGATACAACACTTAAATGCGGGTTCTCTCTCAGTATGTTTCCATTATATTCATCCAACCAACACACTGAGTACAGCTGTGCCACTAACACTTGAAGAAATCAAGGATGATGCGATCAGAGTGAAATCAGATGGATTCTACAGGAGAGCATTTATTTTATTAACTGCCTTTGTTGCAGGTTTAAACAGAGCCTTAATATGTTATTCAGCCCAAAATTCCTACACACCTCAGAAAATGCTCATAGCGTGGATGTAAAATGTTGCATCACATGATTAAATAAACTGAAGTAACAGAAGAAAAATAATGAGCTGGTTCTTATCGGGGTCTTGCTTTCTTTTTAGAAGGTGGAATCGCCGTCATGAAGTTCTGCATGACAAACATGAAAATGGGAACTTTTGAGCTTCCACGTGTGTGACACAGCTTTACGGCAAACTAGAAAGCCCTGCTGAGCAAATAGATGATGTAATTCATCAAGCACGACAATATCCAGGAAAGCATCATTCTGCACCATTAAACCTTGTATTCTTAATAGGAAACCCGCTTTATTTGCTTAACTGTAAATTTAGTGGAAATTTGAGCTCCTGGTTTTGTTTGTGAAGTTGTTTTATGAAACTTTTTTTTCTTTCCCAGCATCAAGTAGGTGTAACACTACCAGAGTGCAAGTACGGACACCTGCATTTACTGTAATCCAGCTTTATTTAAAGCAGAAGGGCCCGTAAAGACAAACTGACATGTTGGTCAATGTTGCCTCAGTGACTTAAGTTACCTTAAATCTTATTGCTGCAGGCTGCGGGCCAGCACTAAACTGGACACTGAATTAATTTTTTCTTATTAACTGAATAAAATTCAAACAAATATAGAAATGTGTGACTGTCCTTTATCTACTTCATCAGCTTGAGAAGTTATAATTGGTTGTATAGTATTGTTTAGTACTTCCAGTCCACTCACACCTCATTAAAGTTACTGCACTTTTGTTTATACACACTCAAGATTTTCCAACATTTGTTTCAAATTAAAAGCCCTAATCTGTGTATTGAAATGCTTCATTTTCTAAAAGGATTTTTATTGTGAAACAGTTGAAAGAAAATTGTGAAGAAAAAAATGTAGTTAGAGCTGATAAAATGTGCAAAATTATGACTCACATTGTAATAATTATTGCATGGAATTTTTCTTTAATGGATCAAACAAGGCCCGGGTCTTTGAAGTTTTCACAGATGTCAGAGTATTTGCCAGAACTGTGTAAGTTTCCACACAACAACAGACACGTTTGCACAGTCAACAAACTGAGCGCTTCATTACACTCTGTGTACACATTACGCAATAAGAGGAAATCTAATAGGTCACATCAACATAACCTGACTCGAACAGTCACAGGTTTCTTTCTGATAATCATCAGTATTACTAGAAATGAGTCAAACAGGCAGTTTTGCATAAGTTTTTTCACACAGCCTCAGATCAGGAGATGGGAAGCCAGCTGCAGTTTGGACTCTGCATATAACAGAGGGGACTGTCACACTGATTTCTCTGGTCTCATAAAAATTAAAATACCATAGCTGTGCAGGTATTTCCAGAATTAGGTTCAATCTCTTGAAATGGCAGGACACCTACAGAGATCATCATGAAAACCTCAAGACACCCATCCACACGGTCGACATAAGCACGCTGTTCCACGAAGTCAGACGAGGTTCCTCTCCTGTGTGCTAAAAACATTGGTGCCTAACAAAGAGGCTTTTACTTTCATCTGAAATCAAAAGTTACCAGAACTGGCTTTTGATACTCAACAAATGCTGTGTGGAGATTAAAGCATTCACTAACTCCTTTGTACCATAACAAAGGAGCTACGAGAACATCTGGTGTAAATAAAATCTGTGTCAAAATGACATGTAGGCTCATTTTAGTCTTTCAGCACTCCTTTTCTTTTCTTTGTGCTCCTTCATAAAGGTCCAAATTTAAATGACTCAACTTTTTTCTTCTTTTTTGAGTTGAATAAACTGAAAAATGTAATAAAATAACTGCATCATTATTGCCATTCTGTAGAGTTAATTGTATCAAAAGACCGTCCAAGAACATCTGAGCTCTGGGGGAATTTATTAGCCTGGTAATTGGCACTAATTATCAGATACAGTCTATGGATAGAGCTTGCTAACCAAGTTCTCCACTATCTCACCTTGATAAATCTTTATATTGTTTCATCCAGGTGGTTAGAAGATACCTGCACAGCATTTTCAAACAGTGCTGGGTTATTAGCATAGAAGTCAGTGCAGGGGTTCCCTCTGTGAGCTGAACCAATACACAAGGAGCACAAACTGGGGCCAACAGCAGGTCCACCCAGTCCACATGTATGACGGTGGATAGAGGTTTGTGTGTGTGCAGGTGTGTGTGTGTGTGTGTGTGTGTGTGTGTGTGTGTGTGTGTGTGTGTTGCTTGGTCCATTAGCTCAGCAGTTCTAGGTAGGTGACGGGTACTTTGCCCTTTTCGTTTCCTCGTTCTCCGATCAGCCAGTCGGGGTCCATTCCTGGTACGGTGTAGACGGTAATGAGCTGAAGAGAGAAGGACAAAAATAAAAAACTAAAAACATACACACATACAGGTTACAGTGACCAATGTTACGTTAAGAGGAAAGAAAATAATTGCTAGTGACGTAGCATAACTGCATCCCGTCGCTGCTCGTGCTCACGTTTTTCATGCCAGCCCATTATCAGGAATTTCCCCGACTTCATCTATGTGTTATTATCTTTAAACACTTCCTACAATTAGCACCTGTGCCAGCATTTCTAAAGGTCTGCTAAGGGAAACCCATGTGTGAACAAAAGGGGGCAAACTGAAAACAGCATTACATAATTAATGTACCATAACAAAGGAGGACATCGATGCTTTTTCATACCTGCTGCTGGGCGTTTGGCTTTTTGTCAGACTCTGGGACCATGGTGATTTTTGTGAAGCCATTTTTCTCATTGTCAGGTTTTAAAAATTGTGATTTTGATTTTTGTGAAGGAGACGCTCTCATGACTCATCGAGTGACATCACTGAGAGGCCAGTCTGTGGCATGCAGTCTGCTGGATCGCTTGGGAACCTGGCTGAGTAGGTCCTAAAAAGTACCTGGTACCAGATACTACCACCTAATGAAAAACCCTTAAAAATTACCTACACCCAGCTAAACTGAGTAGGATGCCACTTTTATGTTTATGTGTGTTTTATTACCAAATTTTCCTAATTTGACTTTTTAAAAGTCTTACATTGAGAAGAGCTCAGATGATTGCAGGTGTTCATAATTTCTTTGTGAGTTGCGTCTGTAGTCACTGAAAATCTCTTTCCTCTCCACAAGGTGTTAAATGGAAGCTTGAATGTTTATGAGTTTATAGTTGAGTTAAACTCAAAGGAAATCTGACACATCCCACCGCAAGTCTAAAATATTACCCAACTGTGACCGAGGCCAGGGAAGTGCTAGAAAAGTACTTTAAATACATGAATCACACTTTTTGTTTTCCATACATGCTGATATTATAGATAATGTCTTGTGGCCTGAAAGAGAATATGCTGTCAAGTCTTCCCACACAAACATACAGTACAACAATGCATGAGAAGAGGAAGTGAGGCTGAACTTCTCTCTGGAAAGTAAACTGGATGACAGGATTAACTTAACTCCCTGCAGATGTGCTGTTGTTACAGTTAACATCCAGCTGTTACTGATTCATTTGTCATGTGGGATGTCAATGTTGTTGTGGTGATGTTTTGTGGTTTTATTCTTGTTTAGGGCGGCAGCTAGGCCAGACAAATGTTCTACATCCAGCAGTGTGAAGGTGGGGGCTGATGGTGACTACTAGTCCTCACCTGCTTTACTTGTAATGATCAAAGTGGACCTCTCCACTGTGTTTATGGGTCATTGTTACTAATCTGTGCCATTTAATGACATTAACCTTTTAGAAAAATACACTCGTCAAGTTCAGGATATTCTCTCCACATGTGACAAGTGTCAAAATGTCGTGTCCATTACTGTCATTATACTCTATTAAAGTATTCTGAATGCACAGTCACTTTCATAATTACATTTTCTATGTATGTATGGAAGGAGTCATTCACGTTTTATATTGATTCTACTATTTGACATGACAGGTATACCAGTCCACTGACTGAATTGAATTATTCATGTCCATATTTAAAAGTGAGCTGCGAAATGTTTTAAATGGGGGTCCTCTGGATGTTGAAAAATTGTTTTCACGTAAAATGCGTAAAAGACTGGATAGAGAAGACTGCACTTCATTCTTGACTCCTTCACTGAGAAACAAAGACTTTGTTCCAGGAATGTCTCACAGTCTGTTCAATAAGTGGCACAAAAATGGATTAAGGGTAATTGGCGATTTGTTTCGAAACAACACACTAATGAACTTTGAGCAATTGCAGTCAAATTTAAATATTCCTAGAGACCACTTTTTTTGGCTTTCTCCAGGTTTGTAACTTTGTTCATTCTAAAATTCCACAGTCTTCAGAAATAGTTATATATGATGATATTGAGACATTTCTTATTAAGCGAAAAGACAGAACTCATTTTATTTCAGCCTTTTATTCTCTCCTATATACACTCTCAGTAGCAACACATTGAGTGGTATTGATACATGGGAGAGAGATCTTAATAATCAATATGCCAAAGAGGAGTGGAAAGGAGCCATTAACATAGGTAGTTCCACTTTTACTTGCAACCGCTTGCGAGAAACTCAATACAAAATCATACATCGCCTTTACATAGCTCCTAATGTCTTGCATAAGATTGCACCTCATATTCACCCCTTCTGTAGCAAATGTCAAAAAGAAACTGGCACTTTTTTTCATTACTTCTGGGAATGCAAATTAATCAAAAGATTTTGGAGCTTCATATCTCAAGAACTAAGTAATATTTTTGACAATCTGCTCCAAAGGGACCCCGGGTATTTTCTTCTTGGCCTACCCTCAAAAAACATTAAATCACTCGCAGCGCAAATTATGTGACAAACTATTGCTGGTAGCTAGGAAATGTATTCTCATTAACTGGGTTAAGGATAAACCTCCCTCTGTGACTTTGTGGTACAGGGAATTATTAAAAGTTATTCCTCACGAAAAAACTGCTGCTATTTTAGGAGGAAATGAGGGTCTCTTTCTCAATGTTTGGTCCCCTTTGCTTTCTTATTTGCCAAATGATTTGTCTCAACTGTTGGGGGGTGGGGGTGGGGGGTTGCTTTTAAGATGTCCTCAGGTAAATAGGAAGTAAGCGTAAAGGACAACAGTTCACACTTGGAGTTTATCTTTTTTCCTTTGCTAAATCTGTGGGTAAATGAATGATAATATATTTCTTTTTTTTCCTCTTTCCCCCATATGTGTATTTGCACAGGTATATTATGACTTTAATATATTCCCTTTGGGGGGTTTTTTCTCTTGTTTGTCCGCTTTGTTATGTTTTTATGCTTTTCTTGATAATGAATAAAAACTGTTTAATTTTTAAAAAGTGAGAATTTTTTTCCCACTTGTTCGGACCATTTCAACAGCTTTAAAACTGTTCACATTTGGGGGTTTTTATTATATATTATACAGGAAGCATAATATAAATGTCAATGGAAAATTGTACTTAGTAGTCAGTATAATCTTTTAATGATATAAGTTTGCATATGGTAGAATACTGCATGTAATCATTTGTGTTTAGAAGTATATAGTTGGTGGCATATTGAAAGAATGTCTCATCCTAGGAGGTCTGTAACAATGTTTTGTACATTCCAGGGTGTTCTGGCGTTCACCCCCACATCCTAGGAGCATGGGAAAAGTTGTAACTTCTTTTATTGTTTTACGGTAGGATTAACGTAGCTATGTCAGTTTTAGTCTAAGTGCCTTTTTTACATATAGATGAACTGTTGGATTTTCCAGACCAGCAGGTTAAGGGAAGTCGTTTATGGGGTCACACTCTGACACACACACACCCACACACATATACACCTCCACATTCCAATGTAAGGAACAAACACCCACTGATGTATAAATAAAGACCAGGGCTGGTCAAGGGCTGCAAGTCTCAGAGCCCTCACTCTCAGTGCGAGTGCTCTGTGCTGCCCTTGTATACAAGTAAAACTGTGTGTTTCTCCTCTCTGATTCTCAGCTGAAGAAGTGTTTTAGAATACATCTCTTAACAATAAAAGATTCAAAATAAAATCATGTCAAATGGTAAATGGCCTGTATTTGTAAAGCGCTTTATTAGTCCCTAAGGGCCCCAAAGCGCTTTACACGTTCAGTCATCCACCCATTCACACACACATTCACACACTGGTGATGGCAAGCTACATTGTAGCCACAGCCACCCTGGGACGCACTGACAGAGGCAAACATAATTTATAGTAATGTTTGCCTTATGTTGACAGAGTATATAATAAATAGTCTTGCTGCCTGGGATGTCTGGGATAAACTGAGCACCAGAATGGAGAAGAAGGGTGATTTCAGTGTCTATGAACGTAGCTTGGTTTCTGGTGCCAGGCGGGCTGGTCTGAGAACATCTGCTGATCTGATGAGATTTTACCACTAAACCATGTCTATTATTTACAGGTCTGCATAGGAGAAAATATCCAGCAAGTGTCTTTAAGTTGACAGCAAGGCAGAAGAGCACAATACATCCAACCTTGAAGCGGGTGGTCTACAGCAGCAGAAAACCACACCGGTGCCACTCCTGTCAGCTGAGGCAACGGTACCCAAACATGACCATAAACAGCATGAAAGCATTGATCCACCCTGCCTCGTGTCAACTGTTCAGGCAGCTGCTGGTGGTGTAATAGTGTTTGGGCCCTTTGGTACATGTGTTTCATGTGTTTCCGGCACTTTGTGTAATCCATTCCATAAAGAATAAAAGCATAGTGCAAGCAAAGGGCCCAAACCCAGTGCTATCAAGGTGTACCAAGTGAATGAATGTGTGGGATGTAATGACAGGACGTGCTACTTCAAGTAAAACTGATTAGTTAAAACAAATCATACTACAAAATAAGTCTGTTTCTTATCATGATCGAGCCGATATTCATGTCACAATGTTCAATTCAATTTCATTTGTACAGCGCCAAATCACAAGAACAGTTTCCTCAGTGCACTTTATACTGTAAGGTAAAGACCCTACAATAATACAAAGAAAACAGAAAGCCCCAAAAATCAGACGACCCCCTTTGAGCAAGCGCTTTGGCGACAGTGGGGAGGAAAGACAGAAAACCAGAACCAGGCTCAGGGAGGTTTCATGTTGTTTCTTGCCACGTTTCACCTCAGGGACTTTGTGAAGCTTCAGTTTACCATCTGTGACTCAGTATTTCCGCTGAGATGTGGATTCAAATGTAGCAATGATGGCAATAAGAAGAAAATGAAATATAAGTCAGAATACTTGGTGGAGTTTAGTGTTACAAAGGTCCAGGTTAGTTTAACTTTGTGTGGTCTTCTGTGTGTTTTTTTCCATCGTTATCCTTCTGGTAAATTTGAGTGCTGAGTTTGTTTAGAAACGTACCAGTGTTATTCATTACCTTATTTAATTTAAGTGTACATAATGCAAGTA